GGAACATAGTTCAAGCCTGGAGGGGCGTTAAGGGGCACTGTCACTGCCTAAGAAGCCCCAGGTATGTGACAGCACCTTCTAGGCCATCCCTCTGCTGCCCTGAGGCAGCCCTCTCCTTTGGTAGGCCAATGTGACAGGAGTCAGTGTGACCAAAAAAGTCACTTGCACAACTCTTTATGTTTTGGGGCTTGGAACATTATTCTGTGGAGGCTGAGAAGACATCTGTCAGTCTTGTAAGAGCAAATAGCCATGGTGAAAGGGGATGCAACAGAGCCTGCATGCCTGGCCTCACTGCTTATGAACACTGGGTGTGCACTGAGCACACACACTCTGCAAAGGAAAGCTTTTCCCAACAGATACACGCTCTTAATAGTGATACTACTACTGACCAAACTGTTCCCATGTCAGTTAATGGACCATCAGAGAGCGGGGTTCCATCCACAGAGAAAACAGATCTAGAAAATAATCATCAAATCATTTATATACATCTGCTTAAGGTTGGTTTTTTTCTGAAAGGGCTGCTAATTTCAACTGAGATGTTATTTATTGAAGAGAAGGCAGTGATTTGGGGAAGAGTGTAAGTATTCATTGGCTCAAAGTATTTTGGCTACTGAAATTTCAGGGAGAAGCAATGATAGCATTCAGAGTGGGAAGCTGTCTTGATTAGGGATAGCACAGATACAAAGTGCTTCAAGCCTATTACATTGCCATGCACACAGCGGGGGAATAGAGGCCTCAGTGAGGAAAGAAGCAAAGAAACTTCTCCTAAGGGGAATTATAACAGCTGAGTTGCTTAGTCACCCCAGGAGAGCATGAGGCTGGTGCTTAGAATATGCTAGTGATTATGTTAATTTAAGTACTGCCATGGATGAAAAGAAAGGGGTGGCTGCTCCCCTGCTTACATACTGCAAGCACTATGTGATAATACTGGAGAACTGGTATGTGCATCCCTTAGGTGAAAGGAAAAAGACACGGTTTCCAAAAGCCTTCTCATCCAGGTTTCCTCAGTTGAGGAAAGTACCCACATCACAAAACTTTGAGGGAAGTGGTTTAAAACCTGAGAGAAGAGAAGAATCTTCTGTTAAGAGTTCACTATATTGTATTTTTTTAAGTTCTGTGAAGACTTTTTTCCTCCAGTTTGTTAACATTGTAACCACATTCACAGCTGAAATGGTGCATGGGACAACTCTATTATCCTTTGACACATGAACAAATGCCTTAGCATTCACTGTCAGATCAAGGAAACCCACCATGGAAGTGGTATCCAGTAACAAACACACACCTTAACAGGACTGGAATCCTATTCTATGATTTATTATCTAGAAAGAGTCTGGAGCTATCAGTGGTATCTGAAATGCCACTGTTTACATCATACATTTATAGCTCACATTTATAGATTGGTGCTGGGATGTAATTTGGATGTAAGAAGGAATGTTGTCACACAGCACGATGAATAAAAACTTTCTGTGACCAGCAGGAACAGAGAATACTCATTTTCTCTGTAAGGACGTATTAAAAACCACAGATGTATTAAAATACTACTGAAAGTGATGCACAGCTCCTTTTCTGTACTGCATGAGGGACTACTGCCACATAACCAGAGGCAGACAAGCAGGAGTCACACCTCTCTGCTGCCATAACCAAGGGCAGCAAAGCAGGTTTTTCTAGCAGAAGTTATCATTGCAGTGTTACATGGATATTAACATACAGAAGGTTTGCAGGTACTTGAATTAGGGCAGAAAGGACAGTAGGAGATAGGAGGTGGCCAAAAATACGGGTTATGCATAAAAGTAGTATAACTAGAGAACAACTTTTAGGCATCTATGTATCCTGCAGCTTTCCAAACTGTGAGGAAGTTCTTGTATTCACATGTTCAAGTACCTTATGTGTACCTATCCATGTAACAGCATATAGATTAAGAAGCTGGCCACAACTAGACACTGTCATCTTTACTGTAATTTCACTGACATACATAATAAATTAATTTTTTCCTCTTTATATAATAAAGAAAAATATGGATAGGAAAGGAAACTATTAAAACCTTGTTTGGGAGTGATGCTTGCTAATTGAGAAAAATGTATTTTAGATGTAATCTGCATTCTCTGCAGATAACCTACTGGCCCAAGGTAAATACATTAAATATAGAAATTGGGTTTGTACAGAAAACAGAAGATGAAAAAAAAACAACTTCCTCAAAATTTGGAAATGAAAGTTCCAGTAGCTGGAGAAATGTCCTTTAGATCTGTTGCCATTTGACTTACAATTTCATTATTCTAGGAAGAATATTGATGAAAACAATTTCAAATTTGTATGATTTTGCATCAGAACACTGGCGTTTACAAACTTCATTCATACCATCAGTATGAATGACTGTGTGACTGTGTGACTGGTGTGACTGGTGGGAACTGATTAACACCAAATTTGGAACAGCAGGTGCTGACAGACAGTTGTGCACAGTATGTAGACAGAAACCCCTTTCTCAATCCACAGTAAGTAATACATTCAAGAATACACTGCATACACTGCATATGGGTGATAAATAATAGATGTCAGAGGTGGAATCTGTTGAACTGTTGACTTCTGCATTGTTTATTTGATTGTAATGACAGTGAGGATGGATTGGACTTCTTTTACTTACGATGAAAGGATGCACTTAGAATCATCAGGATAATCCAGACAGAGTAAGAACACTACAGGCCTGTGAATATATAACTTTATTTAGCAGCCTTCAGACAGAAAACTGAGGAAAACAACAGAAAAAATGAAACAAACTCAACAGTATAATCATGTCTAAATCTTCCCTTTAATTACATTTATCTTACGATTTCCTGTGGATAACTAGAGCTGTGAATACTACTGGGAAAAACTAGTAATTCTGCAGGCTGGTTTTAACTGCTGTTTAGATTTTCTATCCAAATAAAGATTTTACAGTGAAGCAGAATACATGAGGCCATCTTCTGTGTCTAACACTGGTTAAGTACAGTGGTGCACTTAATTATACAGTGTGGTTTAGTGTTTTGCTCAATTCATGAATGAAAAATGCTAAGTCTGAAAAATGTGACCTCGTCCATCCAATGTATCAGTCTCTTACTAAAGACACAATATTAATGGCACTTAAGTTTTGGATGGTAAGAAATAATTTTAAATAGATGAGATGCTTCTGTAAATGCACCATATTAATGAAGAATTTTCACTTACTTGTAATTGTCAGTGCAGGTGACATCATAACCAAGGGTTGTCAGCCTGTTTTCTAATATCTTTACAGTATGAATTCCACAAGAATCTCTGTGAGAGAGAATTCTAATATTATTGCAAGTCTTTTATTATCTAATTTCCTTTCACTGAACTTGATGGAATTAGTGAAGTAAATCCGCATTGCTTTCCCTCTTCTATATTCCTTAACACCTACAGAAAACTGGTGTGCGTTGCTATTTATAATTCTTCGTTTGCTTACGGTCATTTAACATTTTATACTCATTTTGCAGAGACTGGAAGATTTGCTTCAGCAAGTGTAGCATTTGCAGATTCTATTAACCAATATTCCCACCTTTAATATTTCACTCAACAAACAAAAAAAGAGCTAAACAGTTTTGTAAAGTAGTGAGTGTTTAATTTGTAATATTCTTTGGCAGCTGTGTATGTGGTGCCAAAGCTCTTTACAGAATAAGTTGGTTATTATAAAATAGAATGATTATTTTTAGAAGCTTGTACTCTCTCTTGAATACAGAACAACACAAAAAGACAATGAGAGAGAAAAAACACAGAAACAATCCTAAACCCAGCTTCTGTGTCTAGCACTGTTTTTTAAATTTCTGGCTCAAATAGCTAAAGAAAGTTTAGCATAGTACAGAACCTACTGAGATATCTAAAATTTGCACCAAAGTCAGTGCTACTTACCCCATGGTCAGTAAAATACTCACAACTCTAAAGAAATAATAAGGGGACCAAGAAAATAACTGTAAAAAGCAATTAATAAAAATACACAAATATTCCTGTGCATCCAGACAAGCACAAACTGAAAAATAATATTTGCTGCTTAATTTTTCTTTGTAATACGGGCAACTTTTGCAAAGGTGAGCTTGTATGGGGGGAGGGGTTGGGTTTATTTTGTTTTGGTTTTTTGTGGGAGTTTTGGGGGGTTTTGTTTGTTTGTTTGTTTTTTTCCCAAAGTGCAATTTAAAGATAAAGGCTGAAAACCACTAATCTGAATAGATTCCACAGTTCATAGCTCCACAGCTTCATAGACTCCACAGCACTAGGTTAAATATCACCATGCCAAAATTGAGTGGAAGAGAAGCAAAGAGATGAGATGTCAAAGGGAAATGACACAAAATCAATGGATGCAAATAAAAAGTGCTGAGTAGCAAGAACGTACACCTCATGTTCCTGAGAATGCAGATGACACCAGGGATTCAGCCACCAGTGGTGAACAGGGTGACATCTGAGCTTATTTCTCTGGCCTTCAGTCAGGGGAGTTTTAAGACCAATGAAATGCCACCAGGTTATATTCAACTGCGGGAACCCTGTGCGTGGTTGGGGTAAAACTGATTTCTTCTGTTCCTCTACCCTTGATTAATCTATGCACATCTCGAGGGACCCCCACAAAAGATACCATTAATACACTATTTAATTCTTCCTTTAATCAGTCCCAAACAAGGCCTAATTTCTGGCCAAATGATTTAATTTATTTTAGCTTCAGAGTCCAGTTTCCATTATGTTTCTGTTAAAATCATCACTTGGTCTTTGGCTATTTACCAATAGGTTGTTCTATTTAGACTGATCTGTTTTGATTTTTTTATTTGTTTGTTATTTGTTTTTGTGTTTTTTAAATTAAACTAACAGCAAAATTATACCTTTTTAAAGCCTACTTTTTATATTAGATTAATTTTAAGTATTGAGAGAAGATGAGCCCCCCAGTCGTATTTCTCTGCTTCTAACAATTTTAAAACAGTTAAGACAGGTGCAAATTAAAATAATACATATGGCAAGGCAAAATAAATATTTCATGTCAGCATTTAATCTGAAATTCAGATTTACTCTTTTTTTAGTAAAACTGTGTGCTATATCTTCACTCAAGATACGAGATACACATGCACTTCCCTTTACCTAAGACTGGACTACATACATAATATTAGCATTTATTTATATTTTGGTAATTCTGCTATTCTTATACTCTTTGGGAATGGCAGGGTGTGCTTTCTGTGATAGTGAAAGCATTTTAAGTTTTAATTGCTATACAGTTATACTCAAACAGAAAGCTAAGGTGAAATTTTAAAGACATCCAAAAAGGAAAAGTTAATTTTTTTGGAAGACAACTTACATATCTGGTCCTTCAATATCATCCACAACCCAGATTACAATTTGTGTGATTTTGTCTTTCTGGAGATTAGGTATTTCATAATCTGCAAAAAAACTGATTAAAAAAAAATAATTAGAATTATAAGGAACACAAAAAAGAAATAATATTTTTTCCATTTGCATTAATCAAGGCTCTGATCATGCTGTAGGATATGGGCTTACTCCATTTTACATTTATATCTTCTGATTACAATCAGTCCCAATTTAGAGCATGAAAAATTCGATTCACATTCTGAATGTCCTCAAAGGGCAAAGCTATTCAGTAAGAAGTTTTGTTTTCATATTTGTAATCTTAGAGGGGCGCAGCTGAAACAAACTTACAACTCAGAGGTGAACGAGAATGAAGTCAACTGCAAAAAAATGAAAAATCAAACCAAAAACCATTTGAAACCTAGTAAAAAAGGGAAAAGGTCATTCTTGCAGTTACTGCTTTTAGACACAAGACAATTTGTCTCTAAAGAAAAACATCACAACAGCCACAAGGCAAACAGCTGACTTTATAATGATATAAGTGTACAAACTGTAAAAAAGGATAAACTTTGGAAGTGGCTTTGAAATGCTTGAAAACAGATCAGAGAGATGCTTGGGAACAGGTAGAACTTTCAGATTACTTTCTGCTATTAATTATTCATCTCTAAGCATCTTTCAAACAAGGTCCCTTAAAAAAAAACAGTCATAAATGGACCAGAACACATTAAAGAAAACAGATTGAGTAATTTTCTTTGTTTTTTTTTCTTGGCAGGCTGTATTCCAGAGGCGGAGATTTCACTGGTCAGAACACCACCAGACAGGCAATCCAGGGAACTGATGAAAATAATTAGTTTATGTTTAAGAGGTTCCTCAAATAAGGAATCTGTACTGGATTCTGGGCATTGACTTGCTGCCTGGTAGTATCATCTGCAGACAGTCCCAGCTGACTACTTGATCAACCCAAGGAGACCATCTACTTGATTAGCTGAAAGCTGTATAAAGAGATGGACCTTTAGGGGGACAAAAGTAATTAGGCATTATGGAACAGATGGTTCTTGTTTCTCTTCTATGTGGAGATAAAATTAAATTTTCAATGATTGTTTTTAGTCCTCAGTGAGTATACAAGAGGAGGATTTGTTCTATGTTTTTTTTAAAATATTTTTTTTAATCTGCCTTGGACAGCATAGTTACTGAGGTAAGGGAAGATGTATTTTTTATCAAAGGCGGGCAGTCACTACAGCTACATATTCAGTAAATGTTTGTAAGGGTGCAGTTTTATAATGAATTTTAAATATAAGCTCAGATGAACTTCTGCATAGTGGTACACTTGCAAATCAGGGAAAACACATCTGTCCCTAATATACAAGGGAATAAGGAGAAGAGGAAGCTAATCTTTGTTAATATGTTTCTCAATGAGCTTTTTTGCTTTCTTAAACCATAATGGATCTCAGACTACCTCTTGTCTTGGTCCTGGAGAAATAACAGGCACTTTCCCTATAGAACTTTTCAACTTTGCTCCTAGGACTGACAGAGGCTGCACTCCTTGTAAGGACGTTCTCCCTGGAGATGTCCCTCAATGGAAATTTTGCAGTGCTTATCTTTTTGAAGACAAACACATTTTGCTACAGTATTTTGGCTGACTTGAAGACTTTTTTCAAAAGGCATTTATCCTGCTTGCCACAGCAGTTTGTAAAATGCAGGAGTCAAAAGGATTGTTTTAATCCATTTCATGTTAATTCCTACAGCTGGGGACAATTGACAGTTGTCCCAACAACTCAGCAGATGTAGGTGCAACAGGCTCTTCCAGCTGCACTTCTCATGCTTTCTGCAGCAGAAGACCCAAACAACTGCTTGACCCCTTTTTTACAGGGATCAGACCTTGTACACATAAATAAATCAGTTTTCTTACCCTGGCACTGGATAAGCTCCTCCAGCTGCAGAACCATTCAACAAGACGTGTATCACCCCAGAACTCTGCTGCGCATACTGCAATACGTAACAGGTTTTGATCTTACAGATTTGTCATATGACTTAGTATTGTAATGCAAGCAACAATGACCAAGGAAAGAATTTTACCAAGAAGAATATCAGAATTGTAATAACAGTATCAAACTAACACCCTAGCAGGTCACTGCAGTAGAGAGGACAAGAACTAAACAGCCAGTGCATTAATTCAATGCATCTTCTCAAACTATTTTCTCAAACCTAGGAAGAAAGCATTTTGGTACTCTGTGCTGGATGTGAGCTGTGAATAAAGGCTGTCAAATCTCACTTTAGGACATGTATTCAGCTTGACAACTAGTATGCTTATAGTGCTCAATGTATTATTAATGTGTATTTATAAAGCTAACACAGAATTTTAACACATTATCAAGCTAAGGTGAAGATGAGGCTCCTCTTGCTAAAACACTGTACCCAGTTAAAAAAAGTGTATTTGTATCAGAGGAAAAAATCTAGCACAGTTACAGACTTAAATCTGTTTTCATTTGCGATGTTTTCCTGAACCACTCAGGACACACTCACTAATGTATGAACTCAGGACTAAAGTCAGGACTAATGCACTATTTACAGTGATAGATGCCATCCTCCAGAAAGATTCCACTGGATTGTTTTCACATTCTTCCGTGGTAGGGCAAGATTCATAGTCCAGTTCTGCAGAAAAGCATTTGATTAGTGCTATTAGAAAGATGATAACAACCATAAGAAGTTACCTTAGAAAGCATTTAAATGTGTTCCTGCATTACTCACTGAACATACAAGATGGTCTGACAACACACTGAAAACTGACAGTTGTATTTTTTTCCTATCATTTTCCATCCTTTGCAGTTTATACGGTGACATTCTGTGGATTCAACACTTTTGCTGAAACAGCTCTAACTGTATACTTGGGATGCAAAGAGTCCTCTGCATCCTCTAAGAGGACTAAGAAAGAGGTTTATCTCCATGCAGCACTGTTTAAATTTTACTGTGTGCTCCCCTGGCTGCTATATTAAATATTCACACAAAACAGAAGAGAATGAGACAGTGAAGCTACCCCTGATTTTTCTTGGGGTAAGAGCAAAGTTTGCTCTGCCAGAACACAGAAATTGGTCTCTATTACTGTTTTACAGACAGATATTTAATATAGTACCCATCGCCTTACCAGTGCTGTTTGCCTGTCCACACCAGTTTAGAAAGTCTGCAAAGTAGCCAAACAGGGTGTCACCCACAGACATGTAGCGATGGCCTCTGTCAGCAAAGCTATTGACTAGCAGCTGATTATTTTCCCAGAAGAGAGACTATATTAAAAAACAAGGGACAAAAAAACAGAATAAATGAACCATCACTTGGACATGAACACAATGAGATTATGAAGTGTTGAAAACAGTGTAAGACATGTTTTAGTATTTCTTTCAAAATCAAGCTAATAACCAGAAATGTTAGCTACCTTTCTAGAAGAACAAAGTGGGGTTGAACAAAGTGGGGACTTTTCCAGTAGTGTAAATTCTGATCATTTGAGGCTTGAGGTGCATTCATCCCATGATGGGAATAGATGCAGACCTACATTAAATACAGTTAGGGCTAGCTTTGCCTTCCTCAGCAGACAGATTTAGGAAAAGGAAGAAAAAAGAGAAGACAGATATTTATAGACCAGATGAATCTTACCAGAATTCTGACATGCTGCTGTGTTGCTTTATGGTGTGAAAAAATCTTATGTCTGGCTGTTATTTCTTTGTTTGCAAAACTCTTTCATAAATTCAACTATGTTAACAGGAATATTTGTTGGTTTAGCTTGTATCATTTAGAGATAAGAAATTGTTGCAGACTGTTTTAATAAACAACGGATATGTGAGCAATCCTGTTTTTACTGATAGAACACCTGGGCCTCAACAACCGAGGATTCTCTCATGAGAACCAGTTGATAAAACTGAGCTAACGAAGTAAACATCCAAACGTGCCAGAGGAGGAGATGGGGTAGAGAGTCCTGATTGAGCCTGGGCCAAGGAGCCAGTCACTGTTCAGACCGTGGCAGGCTCTAGTACAACTGACCAATCATAAGTGCAACCCTGGACATGCAAAATCTGGGCTAAGGGTATATAAGTGCCTGTAATTTCTAATAAAGTTGGAGTTTGCTCTATCAATCATATTGATTGTCTTGCATTCTTCCCTCGCTGGAATACACCTCCACTAGCCGGCCAGGCACACCGACAAGAAATAAGTAGGAATAATAATGCTAGAAGAAAGACTTCTTTAAAGCACAACCTTTTAGAGAAGGCCAAAGCACACATTCTGATATGACAGCATGAAGAGCCTTGGTTTTGCACTTTCACAGTTCTCTGCAACTGCCAGCTCATCAAACCCTTATTTCTTAATAGCATATAATGTCGTCCTATCTCGTTTCTGCTTATGCTTGTTTAACATGTAAATGTTTAACTTGTAATTTCCTTGAGACTTGGCTATGAGGAGTGGAAGCAAAAGATGATAGCAAGTGCAGGCTTTGTCAGCAGAGCACCTAACTTGAGGAAAAGTAGAAGTGGAAGTTCAGGAATAGCAACGGAGTTCCTGGCATGGCAGGAAAAAGGAGGGATCTTTGTAGAATGAAAACAGAGAAGTTGCTGAGAAGTTAATGCATAAAATAAATGCAGCCAAACACACTGAAAAATGCCATGAAGCTCAAGCCTAGTTTGTAAACTACAGACAGGCCAAAAATAATGAATCCTAACTCAGCTGCAGAATGATTCTTGGTCAATTTTTAACTGTGTCATGGAAAATCTGCTGGAAGTCACAGGACAGTTAACATAACACCAAGAATCATTACCTTGTTAGGTGGAATTGCGTGCAATGACAGGTTGATAAATAATTCGTAGTCCTCAGGTAGAATGCTGCAAGGATCCTTGTTAATAAATGCATTTTTAAACGCTTCCCAGATTTCTGAACAATTCTTCTCACTGTAATCATTGAAACAAACAAATAGCAGAATTATTTTTCCAAAGCAAAGACAGAAAGTAATTTATTCCCAACTTCTTTAGATTTCCAAATTAAAAGCCTCACAAGTTTAAGATAGAAAACTGAAGTGAAAGTGGCAGAAAACCTGCAACCCAGGAAGAACATACAGGTCTTGTATTTTCCTGACTTGTAACAGCAGCAGATTGGGAAGAAGTAGCAATGAAGATAGTAGTGTGGAGTTAGAAATACATAGTAATTCAACAAAAACCTTAGAAAAGTACAGTGTACAAAGCGAGTTTTCTGCCCAGCATTGCAGAAATACTAAAGAAAAGAGTTTTCTTTTACATTTTCCAAATTCAAAATGCCATTTCAATTGAAGTGTAGCTGAATGTGCAAAGCAACAGGAATGTAAAATTAATCTTAAAGCATCAAATTCAAGTGCAGGAGCAGTTACTAAAAAGTTTCAATGGTAGCATAATGGTTTCGACAAAGAGATTACTTCTGTGTATATAGGCCCTAGGATTATGCAGCTTTCCCTTGCTGAAATCAGTATGGTGACAGTGTGGGACATGTGCTGTCACAGTGCAGTAGCTACAAGAATCTTCTTAGGATTCAACATTTAAACTGCTCATGTAGAGGGCCTGAAATAAGATGCTAGGCTGTGCACTTTGACAGTCCCCTTCTGCCAACTCTGTCTTGGAAACAACGATCACCCACAGAGGCACAGGCCAGGCCACCAAGGGATGGAGGTGTCCGTCTCATCTGTCACAGCTCTGAGCCTGCCTGGAGTGATTAGAAAGGGAATTTCCAATTTCACCACTTCCCCATAGTATCTTTCCCACATAGGTGGTTATGCCTATCCTGTAACACTGCAGAACAGATTAGGATGATTATTATCTTTCATGGGGAAGTTGAACCAAAGTGCTTTTGAGAAGCGAAAAATGTTACTAGGAAGAAACATGCTGTTTTCCCTTTTTTAAAAGCCAGGAACCTATTTTTGATCCTGAGATTAGGTATTTCATAATCTGCAAAAAAAAAAAAATTAAAAAAATCTGATTAAAGAAAAAAATCTTTAGAACTAAAAAAGAACACAAAAAAATTATTTTTTTTTTCATTTGCATTAATCAAGCCTCTGATCATGCTGTAGGATATGGGCTTACTCCATTTTACATTTATATCTTCTTATTACAATCAGTCCCAACTTAGAGCAGAATAAGTCTGATTCATATTCTGAATGTCCTCAAAGGGAAAAGGTATTCAGTAAGAAGTTTTGGTTTTATATTGTAATCTTAGAGGGGCGCAGCTGAAACAAACTTACAACTCAGAGGTGAATGAGAATGAAGTGAACTGCAAAAAAATGCAAAATCAAACCAAAACCCATTTGCTACCTAGTAAAAAAAGGGAAAAGGTCATTCTTGCAGTTACTGCTTTTAGACACAAGACAATTTTGCTTTAAAGAAAAACATAACAACAGCCACAAGGCAAATACATTTTTGGTACAAAATCACAGCAACTGGAACATGAACTATTTCCTAGGATAGATGAGACCATGAAAGAGAAACTTCCATCCTCGGCTTAGGGAATCTTTCACTTGATTGCTTTGTGTAAATTGACTTTTTAGGTATTTAAATAACAATTAAAACAAGACAACTCAAGCACAGAATGGGCTGGAAGGGACCTTAAGGATTATCTAGTTCCAACTCCACTGCCATGGGCAGGGACATCTCTCCCTAGACCAGGTTGCTCAAAGCCCCATCCAACCTGGCCTTGAACAGCTCCAGGGAGGGGGCATTTACCACCTCTCTGAGCAGCCTGTGCCAGTGTCTCACCACCCTCAGAGGAGAGAATTTCCTCTAATGTCTAATCCAACAATGCCAAATCCAAAGGATGCGTTTGTCTGTAAGTACATCTGTGAGATGTAGCCTAGATGTGCTCTGGTTTCCCTGTCATGGGCCTTCTTAAATGTCTCCATCTGGGCTGAGGTGTCTCTTAGCCACTTGAACTGTTCTGAGACTCCTCAGAGTAGAAGGGACTGTCAGTTGTCCCCTCCGGGGTGAGACCAGTGGTGGCAATGGGACAACCACCCTGTCCTCCTGGTGCCTGCAGGCAAACTACTGGTGCTCTGGTGTGGAAGGTCAAGACATGGTGGTTGTCAGTGTCTGTTGGCAGCCAGACAAGACCTGAAGTGAGCACGTTAACTGAAACTTTTGGAGAAGTGGAACAGGAGGAAGTGGGTACTGAGAGCTGCCCTCTCTGGACAGCGCTGGTGCAGCGGTGGCTGGTCAGAGACCAGTGGCAGCAACAGCAGGTTTGCCTGTCAGTCCAAGCTTGTCTTAAACACTTAGGGGAAAATATAACCAAAAATCAAGATTCCAAGTATTTAAAACTCATTTTTCCATTCATGAACATGTGATTGCCAGCAGAAGTGCAGCTTCCTCCAAAATGTAAGGGAATCTCTAACTGGCTGAGTCAGACAATGTGGAGGAACAATAAGTGTAAAATGGGCTTCAGTAAACTGAGTTTTTAACTGACTTGTATCACTAAAGAAGTCTGCCAACTACATTCATATTGTGTAAATGAGCACTCTTACCTTCCTGTTTTGCATCAGGAACTGGAAAAGCAAGGTTGGGGGATGGAGGTGGTATTTGTTGAGATTGTGCAACATAATCTAATGCCCTTTAA